TAATGAAGGGAAGACATCAGTGATAAATTGTTCTGAGTTTGGGAAAGCTTTGCATTTTCTGAGCCAAATTCATGCCTCATAAAACTCCATTGCATTCAATAGTTACAAGATGATTGTAGTTGAACCCTAGAGTTTGTTGCCAAACACAAATGGTCTGAGCAAGAAGGCATAATTCAATTTGCCATGCAGATACTTCCAGACTATATCATTCGGTATCTTAGTTTATTTCCATATCTCCCATATAAGATATTTTGCTATATAGGCAAAATTTTCTTGTCTGGTAATATCCATAATAAAACCCAGATACAGGGAAACATCCAAGGACCCACTATGATGCACTCCATCTTTTGTTAGATCTGTCAGGTCCTCCTTGGAGTAATTTCTTTTTAACAAACATATATATTTACACAGACTTTGAGCCCATTTTCTGCTGTTTAATGGTAGTTTGGGAAGCAAGTTTTGCTGGGTAGCATAGTTGCATCTGTATGTAACGAAGTTTGAAAACAAGTTCCCATGCTCACAAGGAAAATATGATTGATAGGAGATAAAGGGCTACCTCCTTTTCACTTATTTGCCAAGCATATTTGTTACGTACAGGCTGAAGTTTTGAGGGGGTCGTTGGTGGTATTTTGAGGTTTTGTGGGTTTTTTTTGTCTGGGGGTTGGTTGAGGGTTTTTGTTTGGTTTGGTTTTTTTTTCAGAATTCCTTAATTTTTTTGAGCCTTTGCAGAATCTACAAAGAAAACTCAAGGTCCATAGACCAAGCTAGATCATTTATCGGTTAGTCAATTCCTTGGAAACTTTCAGATTCCTTCATCTACAGTTCTTTGTAACACTTTTGATACAAAAACAGTGAAATTTTGATGCCACATTATTTACTTTGACCCCAAGATTATGTGTCTATTCTGTTTTCTTCTCGATACAGCTATTCTTCCAGGGATTTTTCTCGAATTTTTAAAGATTTATGGCTAAGTTAAGAAAAACCTACTAAATTATTTGATTGCAAAATGAAGAGCACTTATTACTCTGCCTTTTAGTGTTCTGTGATGAAAATATACATGCAGCATATGTGCAAGCAAGATGGTCAAGCTAATAGGGGAGTATGACAGCAGTCATGCTAGTGCCAAGTATGCATAAGGCTCTTTGTATTGGTAGTGCTGTGTCAAGAAGATGTTTTCTCCTTTTTTTGCTTGCTCAGGGAAATCGTAGGCATGTGTCTGTAAGAAAAAGATTACTGCTGTTGATCCATGATCAACATGCATGTTGATGCATGGTTCTGCTAAGTAAGGCAAGTTGTGTAAGGAAAGATCAACTGATGCAGCTGGAAAAACAGACAAGCTTTTTGGGGGTGCATGTAAGACATTCTTCAACATGGAAGTTGCAGGTTTATTGCTAAGTAGAAATTGAGAAGGTATTCTCTGAAATTACTAAAGTTAATTAGTTGGTTCTGCAAACAAAGAGTGGTTGCTTCCTTCAAAGAAGGGAATGTTAGCAGGGAGAAAGATGACCAGGTCGTTAGCCCTTCTGCCTGGAGAACCCATAATTTAAAGCTGGTGGTTGTGGTGAATGAGCCCTATTACACATCGATTAAAACCATACTTTATTCTGCAGACATCTATGGATAGTCGATATCACTATTATCTTGGATTGACACTGCTGCACTTATACGACCCATTCACTGGTGGTGTAACACATATTCACCTATGTGGTTTTGCATATTTACATTAGACACTGCTTAGACATACTTTTACATACCAGCCTCTGTGTGTTAGGTGTATTCATCTTTCACAGTAAACTTGACAAAGCATTTAAATAGGTCTCTCCAACTGCATTCACTTACAAGTACCTTTTCTTATCTATGCAGCATATATATGCATATTTCAATGCAGCCTCTGATCATACAAAACTTTTAAACACAGTTACTCGTGTTTCATCTGACCATTGTATAGCAACAGCAGAACTACCACTGAAGAAGCAGGATTAGTTTCATTCTAAAGCATTTTTTTTGCCTCATTGACTTGTGAAACTACACTTAGATTCACATTTGTCATGCTCAAAGTTGAAAAAAAAATCCCCCAAAAAATCTGTGAAATCTCAAGAAAACTGAACATGTTGTTTCCAAGTTGAATTTGGTTTAGCATACGTTCCCAAATGTCTTTATCAGTTGGTAGAGATGGTTTGGATTTGTATCAGAGATTTGTCAAGCTTTTCATGGTTCTGCTTCAGAGTTGTAGTAATTGCTTTTTTTAGCAAAACACATTGTCAAACTTAGCTGGCCATTAACAATATTCTGAACTTGAGGGTACATTAAGCAGACTTCATTCCACGCATTGATGAGGATGGACTAAACCTATCAGGGCAATTAATGAATCAGAGCTGCTTTAGAAAAATATTCTTGGGTTTGGTCTGTATACCCACTGTTTTCCTAGAAAGCTCCACAGTGCTGCACTGATCATGAGAACACGATGTGGTTTACGAATCCAGCACTGCCCTGCCTTTCCACTTAGCAAATGCTCTTACACCCTCTTGAGATAAGGCAGTGGCAGCTCTGCTGTGTGGGAAGCACAGTGCCTCTTGCTAAGTGGCTAGTTCAAATTAGATATGGCAGGAACGCAGATATAAGGGCATTTCCTACTTGACTGGCAGGGTTTAATGGATCCCAAGTGAGAGGAATGATTGCTCTGCGAACAGCTTTGGGAGGACTGCTAGTTAAGAACTTTCACACGCCTCATTTGGCCTGTTTCCAGCTTGAGGTAAGGGGGAAGGGTAGAGGAGGAATGTGCTTCGAAAGTGCACTAGTCCCTGAGCAATCAAATTCAAGTGTTGTATGAAAATCTTCCATCATTACTTGCTAGATAGCTCTGCTTTCTCTTTATCAGGGAGGGTTTCTATTCACAAGGAATAGCCAGGAAGTTGGCAAGTCAGATTCTTTGACTGAAATTCACACATCTGATTGATATTTAATAGACTGCAGTACCTGAAAAGAATGCAAGGTAGCTACTACATTGATTGAACAACTAGTTATTAGACATTGACTACTTAATTTTCACACTTTTATAAAACGGTATTTTTTTAAGATGTGGTATTCCATCACTCTGCTCTCTGTGGGCAAAATGAATAGTAAGAAAGATAGGAAAGACATCAGTTAAATTAGAAGCATCACCTTTTTTCACCTGCACAGGCAGTACACTTCCAGATCAGAATCTAGGTAACCCAAATTATAAGAAATCGGGGTAAATAGCACAAGTTCAGCCAACAGCCAAAGCTGAGGGATATAATTGGCTAAATACTTGGTGGTGGAAGTGAAATGTATCTGTGTTGATGCTACTAAAATATCCATTCCTATTGCTTTGTATACAGGAGAGTGGAGTATTCTGCCCTGCTGCTGTTTGCAGTCTTGATATATCAAACCATTATTTTTATATCTGTGTTTCTGTCTGAAAACAGATGTTGCCCCAAGGCTGCACATAGCAGTAGGCTTTTTAGTAAAGCATGTGAGCTCACTCTCTCTGCGTGTTTGTTTGTCTCTACCACAAGTGCTGTGTTGCTGTGGCTTTTCATAGCTGCTGCCACCCTGATGTTCTCATGTAGGCTGCTGAGTACAGCTACACTCTGCAGGACAAGGAGCCTGACATTAGTTAGCTGCTTAGCCATGGCTCTCAGATCCTCTCACTCTACAGAAATTAATCCATGTAGAACATAGTTAGAAGCAGAATAAGTGAGCCCTGACAGCCTTATTAAAAGGGGTCGAAGCCAGAGTCTTTGTTGAAAGTAGTGCCAGCACCCTGTTTCTGTTGACTCAGAGATTATCTCACTCCTTATTCATTAGCAGGGTCAGAGGTGCCCTATTGAAAAGATATCCCCGGCCCACTAACGAACAGCAGGTGCAGCCCCTGCCTGGGAACATGTCAAGTTGCCAGTACTGCAGCAAGGCTTTCCAGCTCTTCTAGCTGGTGCACATCAGTGCCTGTAGCTTCAGCATCTCATGGAATGGAATGGAGGCACTAAGCCCAATTCTTCCTTAATTTTTCATCAGCTGCATACCTTAGAGTTTTGTATTACTGCAGTTTTGAATATATGCCCACAAGCACCCAGAACAATATAAAGCAGTATTCTTGTGGGGAAGGCATAGTGAGGGATTCCTGGTATGTATTTATGCACTTGAGCTGTATATTTTTGTAAAGCAAATGAAAATCACTCTTTGGATACTTTGAATGGGGAATTCGGTGCCTCCAGTTTGGATTGCATTAGGGAACAAGGATGAGATTCAGATTAGGTTAAATATAATGAAATAATATGGTATGTATTAAAGTCCTTTGATTTTCTTTTTTTAGTCTATTATATAGAATCTGACTTGCATAATAAGTGGAAGTCATTGCCTTTTCAAAACTATAGAAGACTATATCTTAACTATAGAAGATATAGAAAACTATGTCTTAAGTTTCTGGTGAAGATATGTCTCTGTCCAGTTTCTACAGCAGAGGTACATTCGTCTTAAAAACAAACATCTTGGCATCTGAAGCTATTCTCTTTAGAACATGTTTATTGCATGCTTCAGTTACAATTAAATGTTTGTTGGAAAAATGAGTTGAAGTCTACATTGCCGTTGCCTTAGTTGTGGACAGACACCTTTAGCAGAAAAACTGATATTCTGAAAGCAGGGAGTTGAAATAGTTGACTGAAGCATGTCTTCATAATCAGTAGATTTGATGTGTTCAATTTAACACTCGCATTTTTCACCTGTATCATCATTATTTCCTGTGTTAGTCAGGCAGCTATCATCGCCATGTCCCCTTCCCTTAGCACAGTTGGTTTCTTCCTGCTTCAGCTGGATAGTTGCTGGGTTATGGGATAGAAATACTTGGGGGGAGAGAGGAGAGAGGGTGTGCAGGTTTCTTCCAGCATGAAGCTGAACGAGGTTGTAACTTAGAGGTTGATCTTTGCTTTAACCACCGCTTGTGTCTCAGGCTGTTCCTCACTATCTCTGTTCTCTTATTTCAGATAATTCAGCCCCTCTTAGAACTTGATCAGAATCGCAGCAAGTTGAAGTTGTACATTGGACATCTGACAGCCCTCTGCCATGACCGTGACCCCCTGATTCTACGTGGACTCACCCCACCTGCTTCCTACCACCTGGATGATGACCGGGCAGCTTGGGAGAAAGAGCTGCAGAAGATGACCCAGGAGCAGGTGAGTTTGTGGTCTGAAGCTCTGAACAAGGGCTTGAATGGTGATTGTCGTGGTTTAAGCCCAGCCGGCAACTTGGAACCACGCAGCCGCTCGCTCACTCCCCCCTTTTCCTTCCTCCCCCCGCTCCCGGAGGGATGGGGAGGAGAATCGAAGGAATGTAACTCCCACGGGTTGAGATAACAGCTCTCCAGTAACTAAGGTATAATACAAACCACTACTGCTACCAATAATAATGGTAAGAGGAATAACAAGGGGAGAGGACACAACTGCTCACCACCCGCCAACTGATACCCAGCCCGACCCGAGCAGCGATCTGGGCCTTCCGGGTAACTCCCCCCAGTTTCTATACTGGGCATGACGTGCTGTGGTATGGAATACCCCTTTGGCCAGTTTGGGTCAGGTGTCCTGTCTCTGCTTCCTCCCGGCTTCCCCTCCTCTCTGGCAAAGCATGAGACTGAGAAAGTCCTTGGTCAGAGTAAACATTACTTAGCAACAACTAAAAACATCGGTGTTATCAGCATTGTTCCCAGACTGAAAGTCAAAAACACAGCACTGCACCAGCTACTAAGAAGGAGAAAAAATGACTGCTGTAGCTGAACCCAGGACAGTGATGTAGGTCTTACTGATGGCCACACCAAAATACTGGAAAACCGTTCTGTAAGTGGTGAAAATAGGCAGCAGAAATCCATTCTTCAGCTGATAGACGGAGTCAATAATTTTTTGAATCATTGCCACTTAATATTTATTAGGGAATTTCATCTGTTGTTTTATCCGTATGTGATGCCATGCATCTACACACTCAGGGAAACCAAAGTGCAACATACCACTTTTGCCATGTTTTACCCGTTGACAAATTTCAGTTGTTTGTAACTTAATGTAGTTGTAGGGATCTTAAATCTTTTTTTAATGACATTAACCATTTATATTTTAACTGACACATTTTTTGAGTCACTTTATATAAGTGAATACAAAGTCCTCACATTCTGTAACAGTATGTTTTGCCAGTAATTTTTTCTGCTTACCACCTCACCGAGATACCTAAAGATCTGGATGCAGTGTACTAGATGCAATACACACGTGCTTATGCGCACACACACAGTGATTTCAGCAGTCCAAGAGTGTATTTTCAGGAGTTTTGGAATACTCATAGGGTTTAATAACAGCTTTTCTGATGAAGTCTCTGCAGAGACTGTCAATCTAGTTGTAATTCAACTACTGAAATAATTTTCCTTTCTCCCAGCCCTGGTGATGTCTTGCCCTTTTTAATCCCTGCAGTGGCAATAAATGTGACTAATTTTGTGGGTTTGACCCTGATTTTGGATTATAACACAAATTCTTACGCTAAATTCTTCACTTTCATATGTCTATACCAAACTCTATCCAGTGTGCACACAAACTAGTGTAAGGCCTATATAGTTCAAAGTGGGTTTATGGGTCATTGAACACTATCTTGAGCCTATCCTGGACTTTTCAGCTCTGGTTTTCTTCTTTGTGGTGTTTAAGCTCATTTCCATGCACTTTCAACTCAAGGCTGAATTTTGATCCAAAAATTGGAGAGAGCAGCTTAGCAGCTAAATTACAGGAAGCCAACAGAAGCATGTCTAACAGTTCAGAAAAAAAAGCATACCTCTGGAGATAAATATGCTTGTAAGAGGGCCTAAGTGATCTCTGGATCAAGAAGAGAGTTGATATCTGTCTTTGTACCTGTCTGCATGTATTTATTTGATTCATCATGTGCTGCGTGCCTCACTTGGTATCTACATTTGCCTCTATAGGCCTGACACATTCCTTTTCCCTGCAGAGCCTGGTAACCCAAATGAACCCAGGGGCAGCATTGTATTTACCTATTGGGTTCTGTAATCACTGTTACAGGATTAAAAGTTTATTAGATATTTGGATATCCCTGAAATAAATTGACTAGTTTGTTATAGCTGTGGTGGTCTTTAAATATAATCAGGATCTGTGGGGGTAGGTGCTATCTTCTATTTGATCAAGAGATGCTGGTAAAGAAAATAGAGACTATTTTCTTCGGCAAGTTCTTCTGAATAGACAGTCAGCCCCAAATAGCATCTGTTTGTTTCCAGTTCTGTGTACTGGTCTAACGAAAGATAATATTTCTCATTCAAACTTTGCTAGTCCATTAGCAGCATTTATTAGTTACACAGTAAAGAAAGCATTTAAGTATAAATTGTGGGGAAAAGAGTTATCTAAGTTACCCTGGTGAAGAGAAAAAATGTATTTTTCTGTCCTCTCCTATTATTGTCTTAATTCTGCATTGCTATGACCACAATTGTTTATAAAGTTACTACTCCATTTCTGATTCTCATGTGTAACTAACATCCAATAAAATAAAATGTAGCAGTCTTCTGCTTTCCTATATTCAGATTGTATTTAACGAGCTTCAGTTGAAAAACACACACCAATGATGTATTTCAATTTACAAAGCAGATTTTTCATGTAAGTGGTGAAGTTTTTCTGTTTGTAACTGCAGAATTTCCTCTGTGCTTAAAGTATTCCCATGGGGGGTGGGAAGCAGTTCTCCAGATTCACAGAAGCCCATCACAGAATACCCATTTTGCATCTTTGGAATTTTAATGAGTTTTGTAAATTACTTCAAATCCGATGCATTAAATTCACTCCTGTCCCTTCTAATATGATCTTCTATAGATAATGCTTCACAAGCCTCAGTGGGAAAAAATTAATCCTCTTGAATGTTAAGAAGTGCTAACATGATTAGGGAGGATACATTTAACTGAACACCAATAATATTTAAGAATGGTGCCAGTGTATCCACTTCTCACCAATGAGATAATTTTGTTTGGGTTTCTTTATAAATAGCAGAGAATTCATTTTCATACTGCTGCTTTTGGAGCTGCGATTTGCCAGTGCAGCAACTTTTATTGGCTAAGGATGGTCCTGCTCTATTTCATCATAGCCTGTATATGCTGTAGGTCTCTCATACCTGCTGGGGAAGCTCAGATACAAATAGTAGTTTTCTGTGACTTTTTCTGGTAGGTGAAACTAGTATGTGAAGTAGATTTAAGCTCTTCATTCTTCCAGCACATCCACAGTGACCCACAGAAACTAATCTACACGTCATAGTTGAAAAGCATCTGCCAGCATCAACGCTGTGGTTCTAATGGGAATTTTTTGCCGCAGAAATAACTTTGTAGGCTATCAAAGTTTGACTGATAATTGGTACCTCTCATGTATAGTAGTTTCTTTATGCTACCATTAAGTTCAGCTATAGTCCTAAATGACTTCAATTGATTTTAATCAAAATATGGGCCCAAGATGCTATATCACTCTTAGTTGGCATTTAATCAAAGTAATTTCATAAAGCTGACTTACTATAGTAAAATTTTGGTCTATTTATTTCTAATGGAGGCCTGAAGCCAGTACGTTATGAGAATATGTTATCTCAGAACCTAATCTAAACTAGTATACTAGACTAAGTAGTGGACAATAAAGAATCTACAGTGCTTGGAACCATGTAATTAAGTTACTCATGTAGTGGAAGATATTCCTTTAGGTCAGTTCTGACCCAGCGTCCCCAAAGAAGGTAACTAGCACTGTTTCTGGAACTGTCCTTCGACCAGTTCATGTCCTGTTCAACTTTCCTTACTAAAAAATTGAAGCTACCAGAAGGAAGGAAGGATGTTCCACGTCTCAACACTGAGAAATAAGAATTCCGTTCATTCATTATAAATAATTGCATTACCCTAGCAATTTCAATTAAATACAATATTTTCTTTCACTTTGTTGTAAACATATCATTATGTTAATATGCGTGAGATCTCTAGAACTACTGTTGTTTCGTGTTTCAGATGGTTGCCTTTAAGTGAGGGATTTTATTCCTATATGAAAGGAGATGACATTAAGAACATAATGATACGGTCTACATTTTTATTTATAGTTTGGTTTTCGGTTTTCTCTTAACTTTAGAAAAAGAAACTTGCTGAAAATCGTCATTTAAATATAGTGGTGGTGGTGTGCTGTGCTGTGGTAGGAACCCAACAGTGCAAGACAGTAAAAAGAGACAAACAGAGCAACGAGATTCTAGTAGTAGGCAACAGAGTTACTTCCATTAATAGCTTAAACACTATTATAAATGTATCCATCTCTAAAATGTGCAGAACCTCATATTATGGAGAGCTGCTTATTTTCAGTAGGTCCTACAATGACAGTCATTCTGAAAAAAAAGTATTTCTTCCAACAGAAGAGGACCTATCTGATTAAAAAATAATTTTCTTAACCCTAGGAGTAGGAGGCATTTTATTCCCTGACTGCCTGCTGCCAGCAGCTCCTTCCAGCCATGTCCAACCCATCCTGGCTTTGTCCAGGCTGCTGGGGGTCCTGACTGTTCCTCTTTCCCCAGAGGTGTTTCCGGCAGCATTTGCATCAACAGCAGCCTGTAAGACCCAGGAAGATGTATTTCCATGAGATACTGTCTCAGAGGACACCTGCTATGGGAGGTTGTCTCACCCCACTGATAGTGTTGTTGCACCTATGACTGCTTCAGCTGTGAAGTACAGAGAGAGGCAGGAGCTTTTGAAAAATCTTTATGGTCATAGAAGACCCTTTGTAGGGAAGAAAGGTTGTCTTCCCTCTCCCTGTGTACCAGCGTCAGTCAAAAGACAGGCCGTCAGTGGATGCCTACTCACTAATCCTTTCCTGAGAAATGAGGGATGTCTTTTCTGTTCAGCTGCTCGAAGCAGAGGATGGAAAAAGGTGATGATGTCACTTCACTGTATCAGTCACAACCTGCTGTGTCAGCTAAATAGTCATGGCTTGGTTCCAAGGAGCATAATTTATGTTGCACGTAAGTCATATTTCACTCTCAGCAAAGTTAATGTTAAGCTTTTTGTACAAAACGCCAGACCACATTCATGTAGCTTTCAAATGCCATTTTTAAATTGCATATATGCTTGCTGAATTTTCAAAGTATTAAACACACATTTTGGGGTTTTATACGAACAATAATGTAAGTGGGATAAACT